TCTTTCTTCTGCCCATACAGCTCAATCAATAATGGAGACCTACTGATCCTCACTTACTCTTCAGACTCCAGAATGGTCAACTAAAAATACAAATAGGGCCAAATGATTCCCATTAAAGAATTCCCCACCACATGTAGGATCAAGCTCACAATTTCAACACTCCTCAGATCATACAGGTGAGTCCTATAGAATCCCACCTGCTTACTTACCTCCTGCACTCTTTGCCCATTCTTCTGTTTTAGCTAGTCTGCAGTCAGATCCATATTCTTTTTCTTTCATTTTCATTTTGCTTTTTTGTTGTTGTTTCAACTTGGGGCCTTGGGCTTGCTAGCAAGAAACTCAAGGAACTCTACCACTTGAGCCACAGTCCTACCCCTGTTATTTTTGTCCGTCATGGGGCCTGAACTCTGGGCCTGGGCACTGTCTCTCAGCTCTTCAGCTCAAGGTGAGTGCCCTGCCACTTGAGTCACAGTGCCACTTCTGGCTTTTTCTGCTTATGTGGTGCTGAGGAATCGAACCCAGGACCACATATATGCAAGGCAAGCATTCTACCACTGAGCCACCTTCCCAGACTTACTTGTTTTTTGGTTGGTCATGGGGCTTTACCTCTGGGCCTGGGCACTGTCCCTGAGCTCTTTAGCTCAAGGCAAGTGCTCTACCACTTGAGCCACAGCTCCATTTCTGGTTTTTCTGGTGGTCAATTAGAGATAAAAGACTTACAGACTTCCTACCCTGGCTGGCTTTGAAGTGCGATCCTCAGATCTCAGCCTCCTGAGTAGCTAAGATTATAGGCGTGAGCCACCAGTACCCAGCTCCAGCCTGTTTTGAAACATGATTAGTTACATAGTTTGGCTGGCCTCAATCTTGAAATCCTCCTGCCTCAGCTGGCATTCAAACCAGTGCTCTAGCCGGGCGCTGGTGGCTCACGCCTATAATCCTAGCTACTCAGGAGGCTGAGATCTGAGGATCGCGGTTCAAACCCAGCCCGGGCAGGAGAGACCGTGAGACTCCTATCTCCAATAAACCACCAGAAAACCGGAAGTGGCGCTGTAGCTCAAGTGGTAGAGCGTTCACCTTGAGCTGAAGAGCTGAGGGACAGCGCCCAGGCCCAGAGTTCAAGCCCCACTACCGACAAAAAAAAAAAAAAAACAGTGCTCTAATGATAGTGCTGGCATCACCACATCTGACCTGCCTCAGATTTACTTTATTTTTATTTTTTGGCTGGTAATGGGGCTTGAGCTGTGGGCCTGGGCACTGTCCCTGAGTTTACCTCAAAGCAAGGGCTCTACCACTTGAGCCACAGCACCATTTCCAGTTTTCTAGTGGTTAACTGGAGATAAGAGTCTCCTTGACTTTCCTGCCCAGGCTGGCTTTGAACCATGATCCTTAGATCTCAACCTCCTAAGTAGCCAGGACTATAGGAGTGAGCCACTAGTGCCCAGCTTTTGTTGTTGTTGTTGTTTTAAACCAGTCCTGGGGCTTGAACTCAGGGCTTGGGCACTGTCCCTGAGCTTCTTTTGCTTAAGGCTGCTGCTCTACCACTTGAGCCACAGGGCCACTTCCAGCTTTTTCTGTTTATGTGGTACTGGGGAATCAAACCCATTAAACCACATTAAACCACATTACCAGCCCTGCCTCAGATTCTGAAGCTTATTGGGTTCTTTTTTTTGGGTTCCGGTCGTGGGGCCTGAACTCTGAGCCTGGGCGCTGTCCCTCAGCTCTTCAGCTCAAGGCTAGCGCTCTACCACTTGAGCCACAGTGCCACTTCCAGCTTTTTTGTTTTTTGCTTATGTGGTGCTGAGGCATTGAACCCAGGGCCTCAGGCATGCAAGGCAAGCGCTCTACCACTGAGCCACCTTTCCAGCCCCTCTGAAGCTTATTGTTGACATGTCTAATGTCATCCTGGTCTTCTAGTTCATCTTTCTCTATAAAAAGCCTTTCCTGGGCTGGGAAGGTGGCTCAGTGGTAGAGTGCTTGCCTTCATGCATGCGGCCCTGGCTTCGATGCCTCAGCACCACATAAGCAGAAAAAGCTGGAAGTGGGGCTGAGGCTCAAGTGGCAGAGTGTTAGCCTTGAGCTGAAGAGCTGAGGGACAGCTCCCAGGCCCAGAGTTCAAGCCCCATGACTGAAGTAAAAAAAAAAAAAAAAGCCTTTCCTGGCCTTTTTCTTACATCAGTGCCACTTCCTGCCTACTTCTGAACCCTCATTTTCCTTTGTTTTCTGTGTGAATGTGTGCCCATACCTTGGAGGCCAGGCTCTCTTCCTGGGCATGCTTGCTCACAGTTCAGCACAATATCATTTAACCTTAGCTAGGCACCTGTGGCTCATGCCTGTAATCCTAGCTACTCAGGAGGCTGAGATCTGAGGATTGTGATTCAAAGCCAGCCCGGGCAGGAAAGTCCACAAGACTCTTATCTCCAATAATCCACTCAGAAAACCTGAAGTGGTGCTGTGGTTCAAGTGGTAGAGTGCTAGCCTTGAGCTGAAGAGCTCAGTACAGTGCCCAGGCCCAGAGTTCAAGCCCATGACCGAAAAAAGAAATCATTTAGCTACATCTCCTGTCTGGCATTTTTACTAGTTAATTGTGGACAAAGTTTTCTGGATTTTCTGTCCAGGCTAGCTTTGAACCTCAATCTTACAGGTCTCAGTCTACTACTGAATAGCTAGGATTGCAGACTTTAGTAGCTATAGCATTAATTTGTATATATTGTTTTTCAGTTTTTTTTCTTTCAGTCATAGGGCTCATGGACTTTTCTGCCTGAGCTAGCTTTGAACTGCAATCCTCAGATCTCAGCCTCCTGAGTAGCTAGGATTACAGGCATGAGCCATTGGCACCCAGCTTCAGTTTTTTCCCTGCAGATCTTCCTACCACCTGAGACTATGAACTTCTTAAATACAACTGCCTTCTTTAATCTTTATAGCCCAAGACTTGGAGCACCATAAGAAAAACAGCTAAGTGGTGTGGTGATGCACACCTGTAATCCTAGCAGTTTGGAGACTGAAGCTAGATTGTGATTTTGCGCCCAAAGAAAGTTTGAGGTCAGCTTGAGATAGCTAGCCAGATCCTGTCGCAAAAAAGTGGAGGGCCTGTGGTTCACACCTGTTATCTTAGCTACTCAGGAGGTTGAGATCTGAGAATTACAGTTTGAAGTGAGCCCCAGCAGAAAAATCCATGAGACTTATCGCCAATGAACCACCAAAAAGCTGGAAGAGTGGCTCAAGTGGTACAGTGCCAGACTTGAGAAAAGAAAAAAAAAAACACCTAAAGGACAGAGTCCAGGCCCTGAGTTCAAATCCCAGTACTGGAACAAAAAGAGTAAAACAAGCTAAGATTTACTTACACTGAGCTGAGTCCCATGTGCTCATATGCATTGATTTATTAATCTTATCATTACACCCACTGGCAATGGGAAGGAACCGAGGCTTAGGGAGCTCATTTGCTAAAATCCACCAATTCAGATCTGACTCGGGCCTTAAAACTACTTCAAATCTCAGTGAAAGTTTGGAGGCTTTAGAGCCGATGAGGTGACTTCAGACTAAGCCTATCTCCTGAGGGGATCGGGCTTGACAGACAACCGTCCCAGGGCACCAGTCGCTGAGATGTCTAGACACCTTTCAGTGGCTGAGGTAAAGGGGGACTGAAAGTCAGGGTGCGGTTCAGGGCCCCCTGGGCTGGGGCAGCGCTGGGTCGGGAAAGGTTCTGGCCAGAGCCCCGCGGGCTGCCTGAGAACCGGGGGGCGTCCAGCGTGGGATCCGGAAGCAGGAAAGGCGAGCAGGTGTGGGATCTAAATTAGGTTGAAGGAGGGGAGGGCGCTTCGCTCAGAGGGAGCAGCTCGGCCTCCGCCCTCGGCGGTGGACCGGCACCTCACGGACGCTTGCTTCCACGTTCTACGGTGTGGAATGGGCTGAGACCCACCCAGAAACCCGGAGAGCGAGTGCGGACGAGCCTCTCCAAGGCTTTTCCTAATTGCGCCCCATTTCAAGTCCGTCCTCTTCACAGAAGTGGCTACACACCTTGGGGTAAAAAGTGGGGAGCGGAGGAATGGAGGGGGGAGGAAAAGAAAGAGCGGGGAACCCCGAGGGAAGGGCGGAGGAGCCTGGGCCGGAAGGCGTCCCAGGCTCGGCCGGGAGCCGGCGCTCTCTTTCGACGCCACCCGCTGCCCCCGCCCCCGAGCCGGCCGGGACGGCACAACGTCTCCGCCCCCAGCGCACCGCGCACCTCACCTTGAACGCTGCCCCACCCACCACCTTCCTATTGGGCCTCCGGTGCCGAGGCGACACGGCGATTGGCCGGGCTGGTCTACGAAGGCTCCACCCATCTCCCCGCCCTCGCTCCCGTCCGCCGGTACTTTGGACGGCGGCGTGGCGCCCCTCCTCCCTTCCCGGTCCCCGCCCCCTGGAGCAAATGCTGCCGAGCTGCGGCCGCGGGGCAGATGCACGCGCTCGGGCCCCTCTAGCAGGCGCGAGCAATCGCTGGGCGCGCCAAAGCGAAAGAAGGAAGAGGAAGGGAGGGCGAGGGCGGGGTGTTGGGGAGGGGCGGGAGGAGGAAGAGGAGGAGGTTGGAGCGCGCTCGCGCCTGGCTTCGCGCCCGCGCGGAGGGAGGGGGAGAGGGGCGCGCGCGCGCACGCTCGCGTTCTCGCTCGCTCCATCCATCCATCCTCCGGTCGCGGCACGCGCGCGCGCTCCGGGCTCGCGCCGCACCCCCCGCCCGGGAGAGGCGGGCTGGAGTGGGGGGCGGGGGGAGGGGCGCGCGGACGGCGCGCGGACTGCGCGCGGGCGGGGTGAGGTGAGGAGGAGGAGGAGGAGGCGGCGACGGGACGAGAAGGGAGGGGAAGGGGCCATGGCCGCCCGGTGAGGCGGCGAGGCGGGGGGGCGGCTCGACCCCCCGGCCCCGGGCCTTGGGCCCCGGGGAGAGGCGAGGACGGACCGACGGACATGGGGCTCCGGAGCAGCCGCCGCCGCCGCCGCCGCCGGAGGACGCGGCCCTGAGAGGCCGCCGGGCCCCGGCGCGGCCCCCCGGGCGGGGTGAGTATGGAACGGAGACGGGGACGGGGGAGGGGCCTGCGGGGGGCGGGGGGCGGGGCCCGAGGCGGGGCTTGGGCCCCCTCCCCCCAGGTCTGGGTCAGCGCCCCTTCCCCTCCCCCCGGGCCGACGCGGAAACGCCCGGCTTCCCCCGGCTGCCCGGCCCGGTCCGGGCCCCCTGCTCTTCCCCCTGGCTGGGTCCCCCTTGGGCGGGGCAGGGCCGGCCGGGGAGGGGGCGCAGGGCCTTTGTTAGGGAGCCAGGCCCCAGCCCCCGGGACAATAGAGACACCCTCCCGGACTCCTCTCCCCGGCCGGCCGGGAGTGTCGGCCGGCGAGGACCGAGAGGGGCCGGGACACGTCCCACTCTTTCCACTCTCTGAGGGTCGGGCTGTCCCGGCCCGGCGCCGGCCTCGAGCGGCTCGGCTCTCCTCCCCCCAGTCGGTATGATGCAGCAGCAGTGCCGCAGGGACGGGGGAAGAGCGGCGGCCCGGCCTCCTTCGCTGCCCAGTGCCCCTGGCTCGTTTGTCAGTCCCCACCCCACTGTAGGCCGGCAGCTCCCTAAACTCGTACCCACCGTTCAGAGGAAGCCCCGGACTGTGGGCGCTCTTTCTGCATTCCGTGTTGGGGGTTTGGGGGACTTTGGGGCTCTTGGAGAGACTTCCGGGCCGGTCCTGAGGGAGGGAGAGGGTTATGGAAGAGAACAGGTATGGGGAGCGCCCACTCCCCACGTGCTTCCCACGGGGCTCACCCCCGCCCCTGCGAGGGGTGATTGGAAATGCCCCCTTGGGCTGTAGGTTTCTGTGGGCTCTCTTCCTCTCTGGAGTGGGAGGCTGATTTCAAGGGAAGAGCGAGTGGGGTGAAGGTGGTAGGGTCCTAGGACCATTCCTACTTCTGGTAGCAGTACCCCCCCAAGTGGACATCCTGGCGGAAAGCAGAGGTGACTGAGGAGAGCCTTTAGGGAAGGGGGGGGTGTCTTCAGGAGTCTGTGCAGTTCTTTGCCACACCCTGTGGGTTTGCTTTGAGGCCTTGGAGTTCCTTCTCCTCCCCCTGCTGCATTGCACCATGGGTATCAGAGAGGGGTTTGAGTTTTGGGGACCTGGGGTGAGCTGCTGCCTCCTAGAGACCCAGACTCTGATTGGCAATAGAGTCCAGGTCCTGAGCACAGGCCTGGAAAGGACTAGGCCACCTCTGGGTTTCAGGCCCCTTAGGACTATGCAGACTTAGTGAGCCTGGGCCTTGGGGAGGGAGATAGCTTGATGCCAAGATTAGGCTCTGGGCAGCGAGGTGGGGAGGGGAGGTGGCAGTCTTCAGAGGTACCTTGGACTCACACCAACACCCCCGCCCCCATATGTGCAGCCGTGTTGCCGCCCGCTGTGCTATGAGCAGTCAGAGCGCCGTCTCCACAAGAGTTTACAAATGAAAATGGAGGAAATGTCTTTGTCTGGCCTGGATAACAGCAAACTAGAGGTGAGGGCTCCCCCACGTGTGCCTCGAGTTCTTTCTCTTGACGTCTCTACGTCGCTATATCTGGCAACTGAGCCAAAGAGGAATTTGGGTAGTCAGCCTTGTTCCTTAAACGGAATAGCCACTGAAGGTCCAAGGATCCAGGAAGAAAGAATTCCAAGACAAGATGGGGAAAATGGCAAAGAAAGCATGATGTTTGGCCAGGAGGTCTGTTGGTGAGAGTTGCTGTCAGTCCAGAGGGCTGTAACTCTCGTGACCGTGGATGTTCTCCTCTGGGGCCCAGGCCATCGCTCAGGAGATATACGCAGACCTGGTGGAGGATTCTTGTTTGGGATTCTGCTTTGAGGTTCACCGGGCTGTCAAGTGTGGCTACTTCTTCCTGGATGATACGGACCCTGAAAGCATGAAGGATTTTGGTGAGCTTCAGGTGGAAGGAAAGCAGTGTTGGCCCTGCCTGGGGAGCACTTATATAGAGATCCTCTCTGGAAACCGTCCTAGATGCAGAGCCTGGAGCTCCTGTGAGCTTAGGCAGGGGGTTTGACAAGGCTATGAGACCATATGTGGGAAGAAGAGGTGAGGGTTCCTTGCCTGCCCTGATCACCAGCCTCTCCTGTCCCCAGAGATCGTGGACCAGCCCGGATTAGACATCTTTGGACAGGTGTTCAACCAGTGGAAGAGCAAAGAGTGTGTTTGCCCCAATTGTAGCCGCAGCATCGCTGCCTCCCGCTTCGCTCCCCATCTGGAGAAGTGCCTGGGAATGGGTCGGAACAGCAGCCGAATCGCCAACCGCCGGTGAGGGACTCTTCCCTGGCAGTACCAAACCTACACATTTTGCAGTCTGTACCATGGAGTAGTCCACTGGGGGCACTTGTAGGGTACAGAGGGGGGAGTTGTACTGGGCCCCAAATATTCCACTATGCCTCTGAAGTTGGAGGCAGACAGAGCTGGTAGTGTTGATTCTTTCTCTTTCCATCCATTGGCAGGATTGCCAATAGCAACAATATGAACAAGTCTGAGAGTGACCAAGAGGACAATGATGACATCAATGACAACGACTGGTCCTATGGCTCAGAGAAGAAAGGTGTTTTGGGATCTGGGGAACTTTGGGAAAGACACTGGGTTGAGGTGGACAGGCAGGAACTGGGTATGCATTGGTCACATTGTTCGCAATAGCTGGGTGCTTGGAGGCTCTTGTCTGATCCTACCTACTCAGGAGGCTGAGATCTGAGGATCAAGGGTCAAAGCCGCCTGGGCAGGAAAGTGGGAGGCACTTTTATCTCTAGTTAACCACCAGAAAACTGAAAGTGGAGCTGTGGCTCATAGTAGTAAAGGACTAGCCCTGAGTAAAAAGCTTGGCGATAGTGCCTCGGTCCTGAGTTGAAGCCTCATAACCAGCCAACCAAAAAAAAATATTTTTGGCTGGCACTAAGGGGAGGAAAAATGTAGTTTTGTACTTTTCTTTGAGTGTCCTTAGATTGAGGCCTTAAAAGTAACCCTGTTCTTTATCCTTTTATCTCCCATAGCCAAGAAGAGAAAATCAGACAAGGTGAGAGCTGGGATGAGCATTCGGGAAGTTTGGGTGAAGGACAGATTGCCCTCCCCTTTGGGCAGGGAGTCCTCGGGTGTCTTGACTCAAGTCTGAGGTCATGGAGTAGGGGTTCTGTGGGTTTGGGGATGAGAGCGTGTGGTGGGAAGGGGAGTTTCAGAGGCCTTGGGGGGATGTTGGGGAGGAAACGTAGGCAGACAGGCCTCTTACTGGGGAGGAAAAGGAGGAATTTGAGGATGTTTCTTTGTCAAATCTTTTTTCCTTCCCTGGGTTCTCGGCTTCCCCTTATCGTTGCCCTTTCCCCAAAGCTATGGTATCTCCCATTCCAGAACCCCAATTCCCCTCGAAGATCCAAGTCTTTAAAACATAAAAATGGTAAGTGAGTCTGGAGCAACAAGGGTGCTGCTTGCTAGCTTGTCTTCAGGGGCTCTTGGGAGGGTGGGGGTGGGGTGTGGGGAGTAGAGCAGGAGCTGGGATGGGATGTAAGGGAGGGCCTGTGATCCTTCTGTCACCCCCACTTCCTCTCTGGTTATTTTCAGGGTTCTCTGTCTGTACCTCTGCATCAAACACCCTTCCCCTTCTTTTTTCTTCTTCAGGGGAACTTAGCAATTCGGATCCTTTTAAGGTGAGTTAGATGCCGCCCCTCTTAATGTCCATTCTCACTGGGAGGTGGCTGGGATTTGGACTCCTAAGGTCAGAATGCTGACAGCTAGAAACAATACTTGGGCTCTTTGGGTCTCGTGTATTTATATTCTTTCTGGATCCTACATTCTCACTGGTGTGCAGGTGGGTTGAAAGGACTCACTTGGAAAACAACTCTCATGGAAGCAGGGATGAGGGACTAATTTTCCACTTCCACCTTCACACCCCCTTTTTTGTCTGCCTGTTTTTTCCTTTCTGACCTGTACTTCTGGTTCTCTCACAGTATAGCAACTCATCTGGGATCAGCTATGAGACCCTGGGGCCAGAGGAGCTACGTAGCCTGCTCACCACGGTGAGGAACTAGGGCAGGGGTCCCTTGGAGTGGTCTGGAGTCACAGGCTCTAGAGAAGGCTAGGTGGCATAGCAGGTGGCCCCATAGAGTTCTAGTCTCTGGAAATCGGTTTGCTGGCCTGTCTGTTGTACCCTTCCCAGTGGGTGGGTGGTGGGGGAATATTTCTGCTTGTACAGTCTAGCCTTGGTATAGAAGGAAGACTAGTGTCTAGAATAGGTTCCCCTCTGACAGTCTTTTCAGCTTATATTCCTCTTACAGCAATGTGGGGTGATTTCTGAACACACCAAGAAGATGTGCACAAGGTGAGCACAGAACCAAGAAAAGGGCACTGGGGACCTTCCTGCACACGGGTTGGGAGTACCTCTGGATTTGAGCACTGAGGCTCTGCCCTTCCTTTCAGTCTTTGAAGGGGAAGACCTCTACCTTAATTGCTCAGGTCCTTCCCTTCCTTACCCCAGGTGTAACAATTGTGTCCCCCCACCAGGTCCCTGCGCTGCCCTCAGCACACAGATGAGCAGAGGCGAACCGTGCGGATTTATTTCCTTGGGCCCTCAGCGTAAGAACCCCATATGTGGTGGATTTTGATGTTTTAGAATGCTGATGGTATAGAATCCCTAAAGCTCTTCTTTGCCCCTCTCATTTCCAGAGTCCTTCCAGAGGTCGAAAGCTCTCTGGATAACGACAGCTTTGACATGACTGATAGCCAAGCCCTGATCAGCCGACTTCAGTGGGACGGCTCCTCTGATCTCTCACCCTCTGATTCAGGCTCTTCCAAGACGAGTGAGAATCAGGGATGGGGTCTAGGTATGTGTACAGTTGAATCCCAGGGGCTTTCTGTCCAAAGGCATGGGGGGCTCTACCCTACTCTCTTGCCACGCCCTACCCCATCTCTTGTACCTCTTCCTTTGTAGGTACCAACAGCTCCGAGTCACGGAAAACCAAGAAAAAGAAATCCCATCTGAGCCTGGTAGGGACTGCCTCCAACTTGGGCTCCAACAAGAAAAAGAAGCCAAAGCCACCGGCTCCTCCAACGCCCAGCATCTATGATGACATCAACTGACTTGGGTGCAAGGGATAGCCTTTGGCTGAGCAGAGCCCTCTCCCAACCCCCACCCAGGTGGCATAGCCTGGCATATGGACGGCTACTGGGGGTTTGGGCTTGGGAAGCTTGGTGAGCCAGGCAGGCAGAGGATCCAGTTATGCGCCCCTGGGGGGCGCAGGGTCCTCTGCAATGGAGCACGACCCCTCGGCATGCAGGACTCAGACCTGGACATTATGCCTTGGACATAAGTTTGGTGGGGAGGCAGTTTTCCTATTTATTCTGTGAGTTACTGGATGTCCAGCTAGGCCAGGGGCCTGACCTGGGCACTGTGCCAGGGCACTGCCTGCCTCCCACCCCAGGAACTGGACTAAGCCCTGCCGAGGGGCATTGTGGCTACCCTGGAGGCTGTGGGTTGGAAGCTGAGCCTGGAGGGGGCCTCCCCTGGCTGCCCTCAGCAATGTGAATGGGTCCGGTGCTTGGAGCTGAGGGGCGGGGCTGTGCATGTCCTGTCTGTGTGCAGTCCTCATGCCCCCAGTCCCAGGGGTTGGCAGACACAGAGTGCTGTCTGCTGAGGTAGGCGTCCAGAACTGCCGCCGCCTTCCCTGCCCCTTAGAGGGGCAGCCCTTTCCCCTCAGTCCCAGGGACCTCCTTGGCAGCAGGAGCTGTCCTTTTGTTGTTGGGTGCCAGGAAAGGGCCTCCAGCCTCTACAGCTTCAAGGAATGGGGAGGGTAGGAAGAGGGAGCTGCAGATCAAAATGACTCCCCCCTCCCTGAACCAGGGCTGGCGAGGAGTGGGGCCCCAAGGTGAGAGGGAACGGTGCTGCTTTATTTGAAATGTTTTCTTACCTCATTCCCTGCCCCAGGAAGGGGCCCAGCCTCACCCTCCTGGGGTGGCCCCATATTCCTCCTGCCTGCCCTGCCCCACCGCCCTGCCCTGCTGGGGCAGCCCGAGTTCCCAGCTGCTGCTTGCCACCCCTTCACCTTGACCAGCTTCAGTTCCTCTCAATGCTCCCACCTCCAAATCCTGCCCTGTTTCCTTCTCCTTCGCCGCTCTTAAGTTATTTATTCCTGTACTTGTGGTTTGGGGCTCTGAGGAAAATCCTAATCTTGTGCCTCTCCCCCTTTGCCAGGATGGGAAGAGAGGGTGGGTTCTGTGCCCTGGGTTGTCAGTGGAGGGGGAAGGGGTTCCAGTGCCCTGAGGGGCTGTCATGCCAGGGTACCCACCTGCCTGGCGTACATCCTGAAGAGATGTACTGGCCACCTCCACACAGGCAAGGCCACACCCACCCACTGCACCCCACCCCCAGCCAAGCTGGAGGGCTGAATGCAGTTGCAGTCAGGGCTGGAAACAGAGCTGACAGGGGTTGAAGTTGACCTTGAGCTGAGTTCTCTGGCACTTGCTGGCCATGTCCCCTGTCCTCCACTCAGGAGGAGCCACTCCCACATTTGGGTAGCTAGTACCCAGGACTGGTTGGACTGATTTGGGTTAGGGACCCTAAAGGGTTAAGGGAACAACAGAGATAGGGCTCGCAGTACCCTGTCTGGAACCCCAGTCTCCCCTTGGGGTCATTCGGATTGTGGTTGATGCCTGGTTACAAATTGGTTTTTAACCCAAGCATTGTGATTATTTTTCAAAAAGCCAAACCAGTTTTGGCAAGAGTTAGAATAAATCCTGGGGCTTGGGCTCCTCAGTTCTTGGCCCTCCACAGCCTTCTCCCTCAAAGGGGAAGCCAGAGGGAGAGGAGGATATCAGCGAGCCTCCAGTGGGCTTCTGCACATGCTTGGAGTCTACTGAAGGGGAGGGGAGGGAGGCCAGGGGCCACTCTCCCTTCTGAGAGGCAGCTGCAGCTCAGGCCCTAACTCACCCTTTCTCTGGCCTCTCCCTTTTGACCTTCTGTATGGTGGAGGGAGAAAAGAGGAGTAGTTTGGGAACTGGTTTGTCATAAACTTCCCCCATTGTCCCTTGACCCACCCTCAGGGCAGAGCCCCCTGCCCAGGCTGGGTAAGAGATGGGCTTGGTCCAGCAGGGACCCTGAGGGACCCTTTCCTTCTGGGGAGAGTGCCCCCTCCCTACCGTGTAGTTGAACAGGGGCTGGGAGCTCCCCACTCCCTCTAACAGCAGGCTGTGTGGGTTTCAATTCCCATCCTCCCCACCCCAGCTAGGTGTCGTCCACCCTGTATCCTATCATGTGTCTGAGTGTGTGTGGGGGGGTCTGTACTAATTTCCATGGCCGGTGGCTTTTCCTTCCATGCATCACTCCCCCCCGCATGCCCAGGGGCCACCCGCCTGGCATTACCGCATGCTGGGGTCATTGGGGGAGGGGGGTGGGGCTCACGCTGTCCTGTGGTCTTGAGATTTTTATTTTTGCATATGTAATCCATCCTGTACAGGTAGCTAACTTTGTAAACGCTGTGTATTCCCTCTGCCCCCATGGCTGCTGGTGTAAATAAACTGCATCTCCCGTTGGTAGCCTGGCCTACCCACCCTCCTTGCCATGTTGCTGGGGGCAGAGCAAAGCCATTCTTGTAATGTCACAGGAGGCTTCACAGCCACAAAATGGAACTTTATTCAGTCACAGATGCTGACCCACCATCCATGAGCCCTAGAGGCAAGGGCCTAGAGCTGAGTGATCCATACCCAGAGCTCGTCCTTGGAGCTGGGCAGGGCAGGATGCTGGCTGAGGGCCAGCACTCTTGCAGCCTTAGGCCTAGGGTAGCAGCTGTGGCCTGGCCTCTCCCCATGCTAGGAGGTTGGCCTTGTGCCCCAACCCCTTTCTTGACTGAGCACTATAAAGGACTATTTAAAAAAAAAAAAAAAAAAAAAAGCAAAGTGCTTTGAGAGAACACCCTATTCCTGCTACAGGGTAAAGGGAAATGGCAATGGCTGGGTGTAAGAAAAACTGGCAGTCTTCATCCCTGCCTATGTGATTTCAGCCTCAAAAGATGGGCATTTGGCTAAGGGGAGTAGAGACATTACAGAAATATGCTGGGGTCATGCTGGCTGCCCCGGCAGGTGGCCCTGGGTGCTAAGGGGCAGACATGCAGGATGCTGGGAAAGGGATTCCTCAGAGACCGGACTTCCCAGAGTTTAGCCATTGGCTCTGAAATGGACTCTAAAAGATGACATCCTTGTGTCTACCTGAGTTGTGCTTGCACAGAGGGGATGTCTGTACCCCTGTGAACATTAAAGGAGGCCCACCTGCCTCCTGTGTCCTATGGATGGGGTATCTACCACATCCTTTTCATCTCCCTCCCAGGCCTTTGGGCCCAGCTCTGGCCAGGAAAAGGGAGAGGCCATAAAGGAGGAAGACCATGCCTTTCATTTTCTCCTTATGTCCTTATCGTCCATACATCCTAAATACTAGGAAGCTGAAGAAGACGGTGACTCCCACCAGGGAGACGGTGGCAGGTGCTGTGAAGAACTGGCGATAATTGATACGGAAGTACCAGACCACACCCAGGAGCACCACAAACACACGCATCATAAGGCTGCCCACGTTGACACCAAGGCTGGATGGCTCAGTGGCCGAGGGGGCCAAGGAGGCTGAGGGGCCTGGAACAGCTGCTCCTGAGGGTGAGCGGTGACAGTGAATAACACAGTTGTCAGTAATGTTCAGGGACCGCAATGTGCGTGCTGGGTCCTGGAGCAGGCGGCCCTGGTAGATCAGTTTCATCTGGCTCTCTTGTCCAGGAAAGTATTTGCTGCAAGATCAAAAATGGGAAAAAAAAAAAAAAAAAGAATGAGGGACAACAGGCCTGGACCAAGAAGGCAAGACAGAGGGCACAAAGTGATGGATGGAATTATTAAAGAAGTCTCCCACCTCCCCTTGGTCAGGGCTGCCTTTACAATCCCCAAGCCTGCACCAGCCTGCAGAACTAAGGCCTACAGGCTTAGGGCACAAGTGTTCTACTCTGCAACCCACTTACCTCTTCAGGGTGCCCACAGTATCCTCTGGCCTGGCCACAGCAACCTCCTCAGTGTCATTGAGGAATTTGAGTCTCACGTTAATGAGGCTGGAGCTGGGGGGGAGGCAGGTGCTATCCTCTGCTCTTAGTGGGGCATCTGGACTGCTGCACTCCAGGATTCCTTGTCGTTTGGGCAGGCCTTGGATGTCAAGGAAATGCTCAAGGCTGGGCTCCATACCATCTCCAGCTCCTGGTTCCGCAGTGGAGTCTCCCCCGCCTTCTCCAGACTCTTCAGCCTTCTCATCATTACCCTCTGATGCATGGGGGAGTTCACTTGGCTCTGGGGTGCCTTGGCCTGTCACCAGCTGGTCCACGTGCCCCAAGTGGAGGACAGATGTGTCACCTGCTGACACAATAGTGCCCAGGAACTGGCTGCTATTGCTGTCTGCTACGTAGGTAGAGAGCCACGCAAGGACCAAGGATAGAATCAGCACGACCACGCCTACAACCACCATCACCTCATTACCCACACCTTCAATGAGGGTGACATCAGAGAGCTCCATAGCCTGGCTGCTGACTGGGTCCACACTGCAGGAACAAAGGGGACAAGCATCAGCAGACCTGAGGGGCTACAACCGGTTTCTAGATTACTTAAGATTCTAATTGAGCCTGCTTAGAAAAAAAAAAAAAAATGGAGTTCCAAGTCCTACTGCAGGGACATCAATGTCCCTAACTAAAGACCCCAACCTTAAGGTAAGGACTTGCCCTTACCATCTGTCTTAAAACTGAAGTTTGGCAGACAGCAGGGACTCACACCTGTAATTGTAACTACTCAGGAGGTGGAGATAGATACAGAGGGGCCAGTCTAGGCAGAAAAATGCTGAGACCCTATCTAAAATTACCAGAAAAAAAGCTGGGCTGGAAGCCTGGCTCAAGTGGTAGAATGGCAACAGAGCAAGTGCGAGTCCCTGAGTTCAAACTCTGATTGGGGGAAGGGACAGCAAACCTTTCCAGTTCCATGTCTAAAATGTGCATAGAGGAGCACAGATGATTAGGAAAGTCTCATAGTCTTGGAACTGCTGTGTTTTGGCTGATAAGGAAAACATACGCTACTTTGTCTCCAGACTTTCTTTGGGATTTCTGATCCTGGTCAAGCATATATGACCCTTGAATCGCCTCCACAGCAGTTTCAGAAAGACCAAAAAGGCTGAATAGTTATTTTAGGGGTGTCTGTGTGTGTGTGTTCTAGGGTTTGAATTCAGTGCCTGGGAACTGTCCCTGACTTTTTTGCTCAAGGCTAGCATTCTACCACTTAAGCAACAGCTCCACTTCTGGCTTTTTGGTGGTTATTTGGAGAGTCTCATAGTTTTCTGTGTGGGTTCGCTTCAACTGCAATCCTCAAATCGCAGTCTCCTGAGTAGCTAGGATTACAGGTGTGAGTCACTGGTACCCACTGACACATGCATTCTTAATTTCAAAAATAACTGTCATGGGGCTGGGGGTTTAGCTCAGCGGAAGGGCGCCCACCTGGCGCTTGCAAGGCCCTGGGTTTAGTCCTCAGCCATGGAAAGAAAAAAAAAAAAAAGCTTCAAAAATAACTCAAAAGCTGGGTGCCAGTGGCTCATGCCTGTAATTCTAGCTACTCAGGAGGCTGAAATCTGAGGATCACGGTTCAAAGCCAGCCAGGGCAAGAAAGTCTATGAGACTCATCTGCAATTAACCACCAGAAACCGGAAGTGGTGTTATGGCTCAAGTGGTAGAGCGCTAGCCTTGAGCTGACGAGCTGAGGGACAGTGCCCAGGCCCAGAGTTCAAGATCCATGACCGATTTAAAAAAAAAAAATGTGAAGGAGGTCTGGGTGCTCTCTCTGAGCTTTAGTGCTCAAAGCTAATGTTCTACAACTTGAGGCACAGCTCCATTTCCAGAGTGTTGTGATTAACTGGAGATGAGTCCCGTGAACCTTCCTTCCTAGCTGGGATTACAGGGGTGAGCAACCACACCTGGCTTAAGCCTCCTTTGGAGTCACTGTGCAGCCACCTCTGCCAGATTGAGTCATTTCATTTTCTTTCATGGGACATCTAAATTTAGGTGTCAAGAATCAAACAAAACTATCATTCACAGCAGAGTCAGATCACCCAAACATACAACTCTCTACACAGGTCACCAGCAGACACTATATCTGCCTGCTTTGAAACCCTTCTGGCAAGTCCTGGGGAGCCACATGAGACAAACATTAGAAACATTTTACCCTCTTGGGTTCCCCAGGTCTTACAACTGCCAGAAACCACTGTCCAAGTAAAGCCTATTTGGAAACAATTCTACATCGGCTCTCCCAGTCCTCAACCCAATTTCTTTCCTGGTACTGTATGGTTTTCCCCACTGTATTTTCTCCTCCCATCCCCCCAGTCTTGGGGCTTGAACTCAGGGCCTGGGCTCTGTCCCTAAGCCACTCTGTGCTCAAGGCTAGTGTTCTACCACTCGAGCCACAGAGTCACTTCTGGCCTTTTCTGTTTATGTGGTACTGAGGAATTGAATCCAGGGCGTCACGCATGCTAGGCAAGTACTCTACCACTAAGCCACATTCCCAGCCCCTCTTGCTGTATTAGACAGAAAGGATCACTGCTTACTGCTTGTATAGTACCTTACTTTTTCCCTTGGAGAGTCTACTTCTTTCCCAGATGTCCCTGGGCAAATCCATCTATGATTATAGTCATCAAACTATTCTCATGGCACTATAAAATGGTCATTATACTTATCTACCTGTCCCCATCTCTCTACTAGAAGCCTGGAACACAAGACTCATGTATTTCTCTTTGTACTGAGGTGCCCAGTAAATGCCATAATAGTTGCTCAAAGAGGATTTGTGGAATGTATCATCAACAACTGAAGTTTCCACCTCCTTACTTAACAGACTGGCCTTGAAGTGAGGAAAATGTTATAATCCCGGCTTACTTCTTAGTAGTGACTTCAACTCCAATGACTTTCTTAGAGCCTCAGCTCTCTTCAGTAAAGTGGGATTAAAAATAGTACCTACCTCAAAGGTTGTTTTGAAGATGACGTGAAATCATCGGAGCAAAAATATTAGCACAGTGCCTGGGCACATAGCAATTGTTGGATAAACAATGGGAGCAATTATGTATCGCTCCACAATTAACCTCGATGGTAAGGTTAATGTCATGAACCGTGATTTACAAGAAAAGGAAACTGTGGGAAAGAGACGAAAACCACTGGTTCAGACACTGGGAATTGTGCATGGGGAGAGGAGGACAGGGCCTAAGGGCTCCGGTCTCCCGAGGCCCTGGCTTTCTTCCCACTCAGGCAGTGAGGGACCCTGACTGCGGTAAGGAGGGGGTCCCTAGCCCCGCTTTTGATGACGCGGAGGCTCCACGTCTAGGCGGTCCTTATACCCCCGGTAATAGAAACGGAGACCCCACACACACAGCGAGCTGAAGGGCTGCTGAGCCCCAGCTGCCGTGCCCCCAAAGCCCAGCTCCCCACGCCCAGGATGGGTAGAGGCGAGAGAGGGTGGTCACAAACCATTTACACCCCTCAAACTTTGGGGCGGGGCTGGTGGTCTGGGGGCGGGGCCTGAGGACGCGGGGACTCATGGGAAATTCAAGGGAGATTAAACTGGTACTGTGCCTGGATAGGGAAGGAATTCCTCACCTGACAAGGCCAGGATAAATGTTTTGACGTCGCCAGGGCGGCTCCTAGATTCGTCTTTCTGTAGGGTCCGGGAAAGGGGATGGCAGTCCCCGATTCTATCCAGGGTCCGGTCTCTTCCGGCTTCTCCCGGAAGCTGTTGAACCAGAGACAGGAAGTCCCGCCTCAGCGCCGTACACTGATTACGCAAAGCTACGTAAAGCGGAATGACGTCAACGTAGTCTTTAAATAAAAGGGACAGGTTTCTCAGCAGGAGGAAGGGCCGGGTTTTGTTGGCGGGATCCTGGCTTTCCTGGTGCTGAAGGCGTGGCCATTGGGCAACTGGAGGCTAGAGGAGGATCCAGAGAGGAGGAGTTACTTGGAAGAAGGGCGTGGCGTGGTGTAGGGAAGGCTTTCCGGGCTGTAGACGCCCAAACTGTGCAGGGTAAAGCTTATATTTTCCAGTCTGGGTCTTCTCGTCTTGCTCCCCTTCTCCTAGGCTTGAGGGATTCCTTGCTGCACTGCAATGCATACTGATTGACCTCCAGGTTAGTGTTATCAGTAAAGTCTGGTTTGTTTGTTTTTTTGTCGGTCATGGGGCTTGAACTCTGGGCCTGGGCACTGTCCCTCAGTTCTTCAGCTCAAGGCTAGCACTCTACCACTTGAGCCACGGCGCCACTTCTGGTTTTCTAGTGGTTTATTGGAGATATGAGTCTCACGGACTTTCCTGCCCCAGGTGGCTTTGAACCTGGCTTTGATCCTCAGATCTCAGCCTCCTGAGTAGCTAGGATTACAGGCGTGAGCCACCGGCTTTTTTTTTTTTTTAACTTCTAAAAAGTCAGGGGTTATGAGTTAGGGAGAAAGGATGAGTCAAGTTATTCAGTGCTCAGAGATCAGTGCTCTGGTAGTGTGGAAGCTTGGTAATTAGGATGGGTAAGCATTTCAAGATTCAGCGCTTTTTCTTTGATACTGAGACTGAACCTGAGACTTCTGTCAGGTGCACAGGGCGCTCTACCAGTGAGCTTCATCCCCAGTCCTTTTTGTTGTTGTTGTTATCAGTCGTGGGGCAAGAACTCTGGACTTGGGCGCTGTCCCTCAGCTCTTCAACTCAAGGCTAGCGCCCTACCACTAGAGCCACAGTGCCACCTCCCGTTTTTTGAGTGGTTTATTGGAGATAAGAATCTCACGGACTTTCCTGCCTCGGCTGGCTTTGAACCACAATCCTCAGATCTCAGCCTCCTGAGTATCTAGGATTACTTACTTACAGGCGTGAGCCACCGGCGCCTGGCTAAGAAAATTATTTTGAAACAAGATCTCCCTAAATGCCTGGGCTATCTTCACACTCGCTATCCTCTTCTTTTTTTTTTTTTTTTTTTTTTGGGGGGGGGGGTGGGAGGGGGTCCTGTCGTGGGGCCTGAACTCTGGGCCTGGGTGCTGTCCCTCGGCTTTTCAGCTCAAGGCTAGCCCTCTATCACTTGAGCCACTGCGCCACTTCCGGCTTTTTTTTGGGCGGGGGGGGGGGGGGGGGGGGGGGGGGGGGGGGACCGGTCATGGGGCCTGAACTCTGGGTCTGGGCGCTGTCCCTCAGCTCTTCAGCTCAAGGCTAGCACTCTACCACGTGAGCTAGAGCACCACTTCCGGCTTTTTTCTTTTTGCTTATGTGGTGCTGAGGAATCAAACCCAGGGCCTCAAGCATTCAAGGCTAGTGCTCTACCACTGAGCTACCTTCCCAGCCCTGCTATCCTCTTCTTGAGCAACTAGGATTACAGGTGTGCTCTGCTACACCTAGCAAGCAGTGCAGTTTTAGGATACAAACAAACACCAAAAAAGAAAAAAAAAACCTACAAGAACTTATCCATATTTTTGCAATTATTTTTCTAAAACAACATGTAGGAGTTTGGAGTTTCGTTGAACTACTGATTAAAGTATAAGTGATGCAGAAGGGAAAAACAGAAGCAAAGACCTTGGGAGTAATTAGCACCAAGTGAACAGTATTTAGCACTGAGATCAAGAAATAGTAAATTATCCTATGGCCTCTTCCCTTCAACTTCTTTTCTAGCTAGTGACCTCCAGAGCAGCTGATTTATTTGAGTAATTAATATAGATTAATTTAACCTGTTTTTGTACTTAAAAAAAAAATGTTTATGGTGTCTACATGCCCAAGAAACACTCTAGCACTAAGCTGCATCCCAGCATGATTTTATTTGGTTTTAGATGATCTTTCTTCATTACCCAGGTTGGTTTCTAACTTCTAAGCTCAAATGATCTTCCCATCTCAGCTTCTGGTATAGTGTATACCACTAAGCTGTACAACACAGTATTTTTTTTGTGCCATTCCTGGGGCTTGAATTTAGTGCCCAGGCACTATCACTAAGTTGTTTTTTGTTTTGTTGCTCAAAGCTAACACTCTACCACTTGAGCCACAGCTCTGACTCTGGTTAAATATAGATAAGAATTTCAATGACCAGGCACTGGTGGCTCACATCTGTAATCTTAACTGCTCCAGAGGAGGCTGAGATCTGAGGATCATAGTTCAAAGCCAGCCCAGGCAGAAAGCTTTATCTCCAATTAACCCCCAGCAAATCAGAAGTGGAGCTGTGGCTCAAAGTGGTAGAATGCTAGCCTAGGGAAAGAACTCAGCGACAGCGCCCAGGCCCTGAGTTCAAGCCCCACAACCACCACCACCACCACCAACAACAACAACAACAAAAAGTCTCACTGAGTTAAGAGTTTCCTTCCTGGGCTGGCTTTGAACTATGATCCTCAGATCTCAGCCTTCTGAGTAGCTAGGATATAGGCATGAGCCATTGGCACCCAGTGCAACATTGTTTGTTTTTTTTGTCATTCATGGGGCTTGAACTCTGGGCCTGAGTGCTGTCCCTCTGCTCTTCATCTCAAGGCTAGTGCTCTACCACTTGAGCCACAGTGCCACTTCTGGCTTTTTCTGCTTATGTGGTGCTGAGGAATCAAACCCAGGGCTTCATGCATGCAAGGTAAGCACTCTACCACTGCAACATAGTATTTTAATGGGTCTTCCCTTACTTATTTTTATGATGTTTATACAATGTTTGCTTTTCTGTAAGTTATTGAACTTGTATTTTTATATGATTATGTGCAATATGATGGCTGTATAATGGTGATTATCTAAATCCTAGATACTACCTTAACTAAATCTGTATAGACAGGTGCCAGTAGTTCATGTCTGTAATTTTAGCTCTTAGGAGGGTAAGATGTGAGGATCACAGTTTGAAGCCAGCCCAAGCAGAAAAATCCTCACTCTTTATCTCCAATTAACCAGAAAAGAGCTGGAAGTGGAGCTGTGGTTCAAGCAGTGGAGCGCCTGCTTATGAGTAAAAAAGTAGTGAGTACAAGGCCCTGAATTCAAGCCCCAATACTAGCACTTCTGGCTTTTTTAGTGCTTAAATTGAAGATAAAGAGTCTCATGGACTTTCCTGCCCAGAGCTTAGAATTACAATTCTCAAATCTCAGCCTCAAAAGTCACTATGATTACAGCGTGAGCCACTGTCCCTACTTTCCTCCCTTGGAAAATTGGTTTCTATCATAAAATAATCATTCTAATCATGTGTATCTTTTTTTGTGTATTTAAATAGGTATCTTGAAACAGAAAGGCTGGTTGACTGGAGTTTGCCTGTGAAGGGGTAGAAGTGTCCTGTGTTTTCCCCTGGAGTGAGGCTCCTACCTGGCCGGGGACTAGGGAGGATTTCCTTTTCTCTCAGGCTGTTGGTTCTGTGAAACTAAAGCCAAACTTTATTCAGTGAGGAGAGGCTGGTATTCTGCTGAACCAGGTCAAAGACTGTCTTGTGCTGGTGAAAGGGGATCTGTGCCAACAGGAGTCCCTAGAGGAGAGACTGGTGTAGAAGCTGTAAAGCAGGCTTCAGATCTCTGTCTCTGCTGTGTCTGCTGGGTGACTCCAGCTGGTAACAGTAGAGAGTCCAGGATTCCCTAGCAAAAGAACAGGCCAGCAGGCTGCCTGGTCCCTTCTCTTCCCTCCTGCAGTTGCTACAGTAGTTTCTGGGGGCTGGGCAGGGAGGCTTGTATTCTGTAACTTTCTTTCCTGTAATAGAAACACTTGCTGAGGGCATAAAAGTTGGAAGCTAGCCAGGCACTGGTGACTCAGGCCTGTAGTCCTAGCTACTCAGGAGGCTGAGATCTGAGGATCACAGTTCAAAGCCAGCCCTGGCAGGAAAGTCCATGAGACTCTTATCTCCAATAAACCACCAGAAGTGGTGCTGTAGCTCAAAGTGGTACAGCACTAGCCTTGAGCTGAAATGCTCATGAGCAGTGCCCAGGTCCAGAGTTTGAGCCCCACTGAACAAAAAAAAAAAAAAAAAAAGTTGGAAGCTATAGAAGAGCACAAAGGGAAACTGAACATGAGCCACACTTCCATTCTGTGCACAAGTCCTTTATTTGCATTCATAAAGCTTGCTTGCCCTGAAATGCTTTCTCCTAAAGATGAATGGTGGTACTTCAGACTCTGGGACGGAAACAAGAAGTAAGATGCGGGGAGGCAGTTGGTTCTGGTCCTACAGCCATGGGTTCTCAAAGACCACTGTACAGTATTCTACTTGAGACACCATGGGCACCCAGGGGTGAGCAGAACTCATCCTAAATGTCCCAGCACTCATGGATTTACAGAGATGTTTGTTGAAGGAATACAGCCCCAGTCTCTAGCCTCATACAGGCAGACACAGGCACTTCAATTAGCACCATGCCAAAGGCAGGCTATTGCAGGATGGTTGTCAAAGGAAGAGATTGTGCTGAGTCTTGAGTTCAAATCACACTTGACCCGATCAAGAAAAGGTGGGCTTACCCAACAAGGGAACTATGCCTTTGAACACGGAAGCAAAGGAGAGCAGGTCATCACAGGCAGCAGCTGGTGGCCAGCCTGCTAAAGCCGATTACAGCACCTTGGAAGGGAGAAGGCAGTGTCTAGAAGCTTGTTTTGTTGTTTTAATGTAGCCCAAGCTGGCCTTGAACCCAAGATTCTCTTGCCTCTGCCTCACAGTTGCTGGTATTGCAGGTATGCACCACTACAGGTAGATGGGTGGAACAAGTTACACGGGCAGCAGAGGAGAGAGGCAACAAAGGTCATCAAGCCAGTGGCTTGGGTGGATAGGAAGGCCATCCAATCTAGCATGAGAGGGGTGGTGGGGAAAATGGAGAAAACTTGTCCTGGCCTGCCACAAGGCTCACTGGATGCGCCCCTCCACGCGCAGCAGCAGGTACTCCTTGAGGACTGAGGGCAGTGGGAGGCAAGTGACCACCTGCCGGCAGCGGCTACCCAACTGAGCACGCACAGCTAGGCGGGCCAGGTGCTGTAGTCGTCTAGGCTGGTTCATCATGCTCAGAGCTGAGCTGTAGAAGGCCTCGTGTTCCTGGGGCAAGAGGGAAAGAGGGTCAGTCAAGCCCCAAACCGTTGACTCTGCCTTCCACATCTGGGGGCAAACCCAATGCTGGGATCCTTAGGTTTTATAAGATGCAGCCACCTGGTATTTGGTCCTTCTGAAGGGACTCCACTTCGAAGCTAGAGGCCCTGCCATGGTAATTGGATTGGGCCTAAACCTCAGGCAAACCTCAGGGAAGGGCCTCAGCTATGTTCACACAGCAGGTGTACTGGTACAGTGCCTACCAAGTCAGAGCTGCCTGCTAAATGGGCTGCAGCAGGTGAGGGAGACTGGACAGGTATGGGATTACAGGTCACCCTGTGCTGCTGGGAGCGGAGGCCAGGACCCCAGGGGTTTCAAGCTACCTGTTCCCTCCGCTCCCACGCCCAGCCTCCTCTGCCTCCTCCCTGAAGCTCCTCTGGAGGGAGAAGTCTGTTAATCCACCTTCCTCCTCATTCCCCCTTAGGAAACTCTCTGTCCCAGGGTGCACATACCTGCCACAGCTCAGGGAGCACTGCCTCCACCCACGAGTCACAGGATGGGACGCAAGGATAAGCATTAAGCAGGACTTCCAGGGCCCGAGGGAAGTTGGCACAGTGTTTCAGCATCTGAGAATCAAGAGCGTCTCAGGAGCGCCAACTAAGGGGCGCCGCAATCCCAATCAGCTCAGCCCCCTCACTCCATCCATTCTGGGGACTAAGAAAAGTCTGAGTCATTCTGTCTCAAACTGTTGGGCCCCATCTCCAGAGCGCCCCAAGCCTCTTGGCTCCAGAGTTTATGTGGGAGCTCTTCCCCCTTGGGTACCCTTCTCCCCAAGGCCTTGATACACCTCTAGCCACTGATGGTGGGCTCTCGGTTCCCTTGGTCCTTTCCCTTCCCCAGGCTCTCCCACCCAATAGGTATCTCCTTTCTTAGGCCTTTCCGACGTACCTCAGGGCGCACAGGCTGGGCCCCATAGTCCAGCAGAGCAGCGAAGAGGACTTCGGGCTCCCAGTTTGGGGCGTCCTGGACTGCCTGCAGCGCGCAGTCCATGGGTGTGTGGCCTGCCCCGTTGCGGGCTCCAGCGTGGGCCCCGTGGCTCAGCAGCAGCGTGGCCAGGCCCCCGCAGCCATTGGCACACGCGTTGTGCAGCGGCGTGTGCTGCTTGCGCCCGGCTGCCCTAGGATCAGCCCCAGCCTCCAAAAGCCGGCGAGCTGTGGCCTCGTGCTGCCGGCCGGGACCCGGGCCCTCAGCCCCCGCACACGCCGCGTTCAGCGCCGTCTCGCCCTGGCTGGTGCGCAGGGCCACGTTGGCACCGTGCTCCAGGTAGAGGGCCACGTGGTGCTCCAGGCCGCGCGCTGCCGCCACGTGCAGGGGCGTTACGTCACTCTCCTTCGCGGCCAAGTTCACCATCACTCCAGCCTCCAAGAGCAGCTTGGCACACCTGGGGACAGGCGCAAGACCCCAGGGAGAGCCTGAGGGCCCAAGACTGGGGCTGAGAGGCCCTCAGCCTGTGGCCACCACCTCTTTCCTTCCCACCCCTCTGCCTCCCTTGAGGTCCAGCCTGGTGTTGTGCAGATCACAAAGACACCAGAGTTGGAGGGCTACCCAAAGCTTCAATTTGCAGATAGAAAAACATTCTTCGCCCAGAAACATCTCAGGCAACAATCAGAAATACAGCTGTTCAAATAGCTGCATCAGACTCACTCCTTCCAAGGGTCAGCCCTGAATCCTCATTGATTTTTTTTTTTTGGGGGGGGGGGGGTCCAGTCATGGGGCCTGAACTCTGGGTCTGGGCGCTGTCCCTCAGCTCTTCAGCTCAAGGCTAGCACTCTACCACTTGAGCCACAGCGCCACTTTCCGGCTTCTTTTTTGCTTATGTGGTGCTGAGGAATCGAACCCAGGGCCTCATGCATGCAAGGCAAGCGCTTCTACCACTGAGCCACCTTCCCAGCCCCTTGTTGTTGTTTTTAATAAATTTAATGTGGTTTATTTTGATGATGCTGGGGGTGGAGCACTTCTCTGAGCTACACTCCAAACCCTCCTTAGTCTGTGGTCTCCACTGTGCCCTATGAATTACAGAATGTACCTTCTGAGGCACAGGAAATTAAAACCGATGAGCTAAGAAGAAACAAAAGTTCTATTATTGTCTTCCTGTCCCCAAACCTGAAGACCATTCTTTTAGAATAGCCATGATCATTCAGGGAAAGGAAGAGACTTCTCCACTTTTCCTGTGAGAACACAAACCAAGCAAACCAAAAAGTGTTTTAGAGATCATGTTTCAGTCTCAGAGATCCTGGAAGAATTATAGGGCATATACTAGTGCTGCAAATATGCAGCATTGCCTTGGGGGATGGGGGGGGGGTAAAGAAAACATTCAGTGAACCAGATTAATGATGATGAAACTGACCTTCTTAATTAAAAACAACATGAGCAGGGTGGGTGCTGGTGGCTCACCTATAATCCTAGCAATCCATGAGGCCAAGACCTGATCTTGGCAGAAAAGTCTTAAGAAATTGGTCTGGATGCCTGATTAAAATAGTAGAGCTCCGCCATGAAATAGCTGATAGTTTGGATCACTCCAGAGTGGGAGAGGAAAGGGGAAAATAAGGATCACTTTGGGGTCCATCAGTAAACTAGATCTAGTGGGGGTTTGGGGGGGGGGGGTCTCCAGCATATAGGCTATGGAGTATCTTGAATCATTACCTTCCAGCCACGTCTATTCACTTGCCAAAATGAAACCCTGTTATGCTGAGTCCAAGAAACTATTGATGATTTTTTTAAAAAAATGACAGCTGGGTATTGGTGGCACTCACCTGTAATCTTAGCTACTCAAGAGGCTGAGATGTGAGGATTGAAGATCAAAGCCAGCCTAGGCAGGAAAGTCTGTGAGATTCTTATCTCCAATAAACCACTCAGAAAATGGGAAGTGGTGCTGCGACTCAAGTGGTAGATGGCTAGCCTTGAGCTGAAGGACAGTGCTCAGGCCCAGAGTTCAGACCCCAACACACACACACACACACACACAAAAAAAGGCAAGAGCGCCAGGCCACTTCAGCATTTAGGAGCTGAAACATGAAGATAGTGAGTTCTAGGTCATCCTGGCTACATAATGAGACCCTAGCTCAAAATCTTTTTGTTGATAGGGCTTGACCGCTGGGCCTTGGCACGTCCCTCAGCTCTTCTGATCAAGGCTAGCACTCTACCACTTGAGCCACAGTGCCACTGCTGATCTTCGGGTGGTTAATTGGAGATAAGAGTCTCATAGACTTTTATCACAAATCTCAGCCTCCTGAGTAGCTAGGATTACAGGTGTGAGCCACTGGTGCCAAGCCCTAACCCAATATCTTTTTTTTTTTTTTTTTAAGGGGGTGTCCCGTCATGGGGCCTGAACTCTGGGCCTGGGCGCTGTCCCTCAGCTCTTCAGCTCAAGGCTAGCGCTCTACCACTGAGCCACCTTCCCAGCCCCCCAATATCTTAAAAAAATAAAATAAGCTGGGTTTGGGTGGCTCACTCATACAATCCTAGCTACTCAGGGGGCTGAGAGGATTGCAGTTCAAAGCCAGCCCAGTCTGGAAAGTCCACATGTCTAATCTCCAATTAACTACACACAAAAAAAGTTGGAAGTAGATTTGTGGCTCAAGTGATAAGAGTGTTAACTTTGAGCAAAAAAGCTTACAGACAATGCACAGGGTTTAAGCTCCCAGACTAGTGGGAACACACCACAGACCAACAACAAAAACTAAAAACATAAAAAAGTGGGGGGAGGGAGAGAAGACACAATAGAGGCTCATGCTGAGGCTGGAAAACTCATGGGCAGATCTTTCTGATGCCCATCCACCTCAAAGCAAACGAATTTGGCTAAGAGATTTCACAGGGAATCTGAGACAGCAATTAGATACACAGAAGCTCAGTGGTAGAGCCCTTGCTTAGCAAGTATGAAGACCTGGGTTCCATCCCCAGTACCACAAACACAAATAACACAGGACTTCTGACTCATCAAACTTTTCTGAGCCTCATCTATGGAGTGAATTTTGTCTCCATATAAAAACACAGTGCTTCAGGAACCACAAAAATGTATGAAGTTCTCCCTTCTGAGTGTGTGAGCTGGACGAACACACACAAACACACACAGACACACACACATGTGCATGCTCTCCTCAAAGCATCCCAGACCATGAGCACCTACTGCAGGGACTCCGGAGTTGTACAGAGATGCAGGGGTGTCATGCCCTCCTCTGACAGCACATTAGCCTTGGCACCGAAGGTGAGCAGCAGCCTCACACAGTCAAGTTGGGCTTGGGCGCAGGCCTCGTGCAAGGCAGTGCGGCCCCCAACCCTGGAGTCCAGCTGAGCTCCCTGCATGATCAGGTGGCGGGCGCAGTCTTTGTAGCCTCTGGCTGCAGCGATGGTGAGGGGTACCGTCTGCTTGGTCTTGGGTGTCAGCACCCAGAACCCTGAGGAGAACAGGCAACACTGGGGATGATGTGTGGGACTGGAGGGCAGGCAGGGCAGGGGTGGCAGCTGGTTTTACAGCTGCCAACTGCCACTGGCCTTTCCACTGCATGCATGGCTTGGTAAGCACAAATACTGCCAGGCTGTACCTGTGGAGAGAGTTCACTCGAGCCCCAAATTGGGAGCGTGAAGTGAAACAGCCTTTTAGAACAGTTCATCAACCTGTAATAAAACAAGGCATGTTCCCCAGAACTGCGTAAAACAAAACCATCTATAGTATGTGTCATAGAAGAAAATAAAAATGGCTCTATAAAACCACAAGGACCCACTAAATAAAGGCAGTGCATCCAGTTAAGGAATACTCAGGGTCTTTGAGTGAATCCAACATGGTTTCTGCTCTTCTTGGCCTTGGATGTGGGAAGGTAGTCCTGCATGGGTGGGCCTGGAACTGAAGAACAGAACTAAGTCCTAGGACAGTCCTGGGGCAACATGGTGCCATTAGAAACTGGGAAAACAGAGGATGCAAGATACGGGGGAAAAAATCAAGTTATTACAATTGCATGTGGCTGATGTACACATCTGAAATCCCAGCACTCAGGAGACTAAGGCAGGAAGACCTTGAGTTCAAGACCACCCTGGGCTATATAGCAAGACCCTGTCTCAAAACAAAAATGAAAGGAGAAAAACTATGCACTGGGGGTGGAGTCCAGTGGAAGAAGGTGTACTGATCAGTCCCTAGCACCAAATAAATTAAAAATTGCATGTGGAGTTAGTAGAATTTAATTTCAGGAAAAGAAAAGCTCATGTGGATATGTTTTATTTTTTTGGGTCCGGTCATGGGGCCTGAACTCTGGGCCTGGGCGCTGCCCCTCAGCTCTTCAGCTCAAGGCTGGTGCTCTACCACTTGAGCCACAGCACCACTTCTGGCTTTTTTCTTTTTGCTTATGTGGTGCTGAGGAATCAAACCCAGGGCCTCATGCAGGCAAGGCAAGCGCTCTACCACTGAGCCACCTTCCCAGCCCGCTCATGTAGAAATGTATACAGCAAAAGCAAAATTCATATCAGACTATAACTTTCTATGAAATTAATATATGTATATAATTGTCAATTAAAATTTACAAGTTATGTATGCATGTTGAAAGAATATAATGGTAATTTTGAAGACATACAAACCACTAACTCTGCCTTCTCTTCTGTTTACAAGAGAGCTAGGATGGAGGCAGCAAGGGATAGCCTTAGTCTAGGGTCTTTAGGGAGGGGATGGGGCTTGGACTCTCCCCCCTTCCACTCCTTGCCCACAGTGGTGCTCCCTACCCTGTTCCGCTGACCAGGCCAGCTGGTTGTTCACAGTCTCCACAATCATGTTGGCAGCCTCTTCATCTTGGAACAGGGCTTGGACCTGCTGCAGGTCACCCGAGAACAGGGCATTGTGGACTGCAGGGTCTCGGCAGGACTGGCGAGGCCTCATGAGTCGAGTCCTGGGACTGGAGAGGCTCCGGTGGCTCCGGCACTGCTGGGCAGCAGCCCTGCGCCGGTCCTCCCACTCCAGCCACTCACGCTGCAGGCGGAGGGCACGCAGTGTGGAGGAGGTGAAGGGGAAGGTCTCCCCTGCCATGAGGAGGGGCCCAGGGGTCTGGACAAGTGGCACCTGGGCAGAACCTTGTTTCTCCACCTGACTAGCACCCTTGCTCTAGGAGCCGCCCTGCCCCCTCTTCTGAGCAGGAAAGGAGCAGCTGAGGCTATAAATAAATAAGTCTTCTACTGCTCTGGTAAACAGTTTTCCCAGAGTCATGATCCTGGTGCAGAGATGGTGCCAGGCCAGCTTCTCCTGCTGGTACCCTTTATCTGCACAGGACGCCCTCAGCTGGACCCCAGAGTCCATATTTCCCAGTCCTCCTGACTGAGCCCCCTGGGTTGGCAAGGCTGGAGGCAAGCCAGCCATGGGATGAAGAGCCAGGAGGAAGGAGGGACCTCTACCCTTTGTGACCTGGGTGGGAACCTAGGTTGGTCCTCGTAGAGCAGAGAATTCCTCAGTACCCGAAGTAAAGGAGGTCACGTGAGATACTGAGAAGGTGAATGGTTTCCTAGCATTTACAGAAATAGAATCATTGCACATAGGTATGGAACTATACGGTAGTTAAATCACTTTTATGTTGATCTTCACTTGTGTGACTAGGTAAACAACACAGACAAAATAGATTTGGATAGCAAATGACATGACTGATTGAATGCCTGAGATGCCTTGCTTTATTTTACAGATGAACTTGAAGCTTATCAATGTAAACTAGCTCAGGATCACAACTCCAGAAGGGAACAGGACCCAGGCAGGCCTGACTATGGAGGGTGCACTTTGATTCCCGCTGCCCTGGCTACATGAGTATAGGTAGTTGTGAGATTCCCCACGCACTCAAGCAAAACATGGTCTCCACCTTCTGGAGATGGCTATTTCTCCCTGGCTGTCAGAGATGGGCCCAGTTTGGTCTTGAAACTGGGGGCTGGACCAAGAGATGATTCAGCCACTTAGGAAGAAACTGCTCTGCTTTCAGGAGCCTCTAGGGGGAGGAATGAGGCCGTGAAATGTGTGACCGCCACGCTGGGAAGGGGAGGGAAATGGGACACCAGCTTCACTCCTACCTCTAGAGCAGGCAGGCTACAGGCCATGGCTAGTGTCTCCCCTGCAGTGCACTGTGGACTCCTGCGCCTCCTCACTCCCTCTCAGGTCTTTTATTCCCATTCTTGAATTTTCCTTTCTTTTCTTTTTTTTGTCGTGGGGCTTGAAATCTGGGCTTGGGCGCTGTCCTTGTGCTCTTAAGCTCAAGGCGAGCGCTCTACCGCTTGAGCCACAGCGCCACTTCCGGTTTTCTAGCCGTTTATTGGAGATAAGAGTCTCACGAACTTTACTGCTAGGGCTGGCTTTGAACTGAGATCCTCAGATCTCAGCCTCCTGAGTAGCTAGGATTACAGGCATGAGCCACGGGCGCCCGGCTGAATTTTCCTTTCTTCTGTCTTAAGACTTCAGTGCCTTCAACCTGGGTCTGTGCAGGCTCTGATATAGTGTTCCTTCTGGCTCCACCCCCTCTGCTCCCCTGCCAGACTGGTCTTCTAAACTGAAAACTGCCCTCACCAATGAAGGCCCTACATCTGGGAGCATGCTCCTCAACTTTTCCTGGCATCTCCTTTCATGCTGTTCCAAGGGCTTAGGATTTCCTTCTCACTCTTCCAAGTCCACCTCAAAGGCACCTGCTCTAGGGAGACATCTCCACAGCAAGCTCAGGTCCCCCACCTTACAGTTCCAGATATTTCCCCATCCAGGATGCTAAAGGCTATCAGCTGGGTTATACTTGTGGACCTGTCGTGCTGGGTGAGGGAGCCAGAGCCCAGGCCCAGGCCCTCGCCCCTTCACTGACCGAGTGTGCAGCTTGACTCACTGCAGTCTGGCCTGTGTAGTGCATTGAATGAAGGTCCCTATTCTTTGCCAGAATGAACACTCATCTGCTTGCCCAAGTGGGCGGCAGTAGCCTGGGCTTTTCTGGCACTGCCCTTACTCTCCATCTGGCCCCAGTTTCTTGGTGGCATTCCAGGGGTGGGGAGACCCCAGAGGAGGAATGAGATCATGTTCGGCCAGGGTTTGGAGATCCTCAGAGAAAGATGCTTCTGTGGATGCTGTTGTGATTAACCATACTGGAACCCACTGTTTTTAATTGCCCCGCCAACGGCCTGGCTGAACACCCACAGCTGGGTTCCCAGGGCTGGGAGTCTGGTGAGGCTGGGTGTGGCCAAGAGGGGCCAAGGTGGTGGGTGTCCCCCTTCTCCCTTAGGCACCCAATAGTTACAACCTAACCTCTCCCTGCCTTCTTGCCATACAAGCCTGAAGATGCTGACTACAGCTCTGTCTCCCAAAGACAGGCATGTAGGTTTCCTTGTTTTTCACATTAGCTCCCTGAGGGCAAGGAGGGCAACCTTTACTTGAGTGCACAAGTTGTACTGGAGAGAATAGAGTCAGGGGAGGTAATGCCCAGCCTGCCTTCTGGGAGCTCAAAGCCTGTGGGGCAATGAAGCACATGAGAAAACAGGATATGAAGCAGTTCAGGATTGGTCAAGACAACGCAGTGAAGGCCAGGACTCAGGGGTGTCCAGAAATGGGGAAGAAAACTTTGTGCCTGGGACACAGGCCTACCACACTAATTAATGGGCCCTGGCCCAGACCTAAGCTACAGAGGGAGAGCTGGGCATTAAAGGTAGTTAGAAAAAGAACCTGGGGCTGTGAAGGTGGCTCAGTGGTAGAGTGCTTGCCTTGCATGCATGAGGCCCTGGGTTCGATTCCTCTGCACCACTGGAAAAAGCCAGAAGTGGTGCTGTGGCTCAAGTGGTAGAGTATTTGCCTTGAGCTGAAGAGCTGAGGGACAGTGCCCAGGCCCAGAGTTCAGGCCCCACGACCGGCCAAAAAAAAAAAAAAAAGGAAAGAAAAAGCAAAAGAACCTGGTAGGCTGAGGTACAAAAGCAAAGGGGTGAAGCAAAAAAATGGAGGGAGGGGCCAGGCACTGGTGGCTCACATCTATAATCCTAGCTACCCAGGAGGCTGAGATCAGAGGATCATGGTTCAAAGCCAGCCCAGGCAGAAAAGTCCATGAGACTCTGATCTCCAATAAACCACTAGAAAACCAGAAGTGGCACTGTGACTCAAGAGGTAGAGTGTTCATTCACCTTGAGCTGAAGAGCTGAGCGACAGTGCCCAGCCTAGAGTTCAAGCCCCACGACAACCACCACCACCACCAACAAAAATGGAGGGAGGGGCTGGGAATTTAGCCCTTTCCTGCATAAAATAAATGCAGATGACAAGAGAAATCTCCCCTTTAGAATTCATATTAACTTATGAAGAGCTCCTGTCTTAAAGGAAGAGATAGAACTCCCTACTTCTGAAGTTCTGGCTGCACAGACTTCCTTCCCAGAACACAGTTCAGAAAGGGAGAAATGATTAACTTAACAGCGGAGAAACCTGATGGACCTGACCTCAGTCAAGTGCTCAAGTTCAGCATGAACCTTGAGAGAATGTGAAGAGAATAGCACTCTACTGCAGGTCTTCCCCTCACCTCAAAACCTGTTGGGGGCTAGGAAGGTGGCTCAGTGGTAAGAGTGCTTGCCTTGAATGCATGAGGCCCTGGGTTCAATTCCTCAGCACCACATAAGCAGAAAAAGCCAAAAGTGGCGCTGTGGCTCAAGTGGTAGAGTGCTAGCCTTGAGCTGAAGAGATGAGGGAAAGCGCCCAGGCCCAGAGTTCAGGCCCCACGACCAGCCAAAAGAAAAAGGAAAAAGAAAAAACCAACCTGTTGGGGTTGTCCCAGTCTCATCATGAGAAAAACACCCTAACAGAGAGACATCCAATAGGATGGGACAACGGGACCTAAAAAGACGTAACATGGGATCTTGAATGGGACTCAGAAATAGAAAGATGTGAGGAAAAACCAAAAAAACCTGAAAGAAGTCTAGAGTCAGTGATCCTTGGTTCATTAACTGTGATAAACTGAGCCAGATGTGTGTATACCTGCAATCCCGGCACTCTGGAGGCTGAGGCAGGAGGCCCTTCCCTCCCACTTGGGTTACCTAGCAAGTTCTAGGCTCACCAGCACTGCAGTGAGATTCTGTCCTAAAACAACATAAAAAAAAACAAACATTTTAGCCGGGCACCGGTGGCTCACACCTGTAATCCTACCTACTCAGGAGGCTGAGATCTGAGGATCTCGGTTCAAAGCCAGCCCGGGCAGGAAAGTCTGTGAGACTCTTATTTACAATAAACCACTAGAAAACGGGAAGTGGCACTGTGGCGCAAGCAGTAGAGGGTAGAGAGCTCGCCTTGAGCTGAAGAATCCAGGGACAGCGCGCAGGCCCAGAGTTCAAGCCCTAGGACTGACAAAAAAAAAGAGTGAAAAGACAAAAAATAAAGTCAAGTTGCTTGGCTTTGCCCTGGTTTGTGCTGGTGGCTGAGCACGGGGCAAGGAAGGGCAGGGGTGAGAAAGAGGAGGAAGCAGGTAAAGCAGGGCTGCTTTATTTCAGAACCACGTCCCACATCCCATACCCTGACCTCAGCACCCTTGGGCCTCAAGTCACCATTGATATGATATTGCTCCTCAGCTGACCAGGGACAAGGGTCACCAGGCCCAATATCCTCTAAAGTAAAGCTGAGGCAGGAGTCTGAAATACCTTTCCTGTTGGCAGGAGAAGAAACAATGGACAAGAGGACTTGGAGGACAGGAAGGCAGGAGAGCCAGTATTCTGTTCAGTTCTGGAATGCCAGTGCCAAAGGAAGTCCCTACACCACAGCAGCGTACAAGCCAATTAAGGAGTTTTCCAGGAAAGCATCCAGGGAGGGGCCCCACAGAAACCCTTGGCGGCCCTCTCTACTTCAGACATGACCTATACACCCAGATCTTTGCCTGGGAGAGGAGACACTGCCTGCTCATGGTGGATGCCCTGCTTTGGGGCAGTCCCAACTGCTGGGCACATTGAAGAAGTCCTCAGGGAGTTCACTCAGGAGTCCATCCAGGTCATCTGCAGAGGGAATCAAGGTGGGATAGCTTCAGTGACCACATTAAGCTTCTATGTGACCACAGTCTAAAG